GGGCAATGACAGAGAGAATATTGGAAACAAAAAAATTGCTTGTGGAAGAAATATGTTTAGACCAGTAATTATTTTGAATCAACGGTACATATGTTATTATAGTAAGCACAATTTTTGGTTTTTTTCATTAATATAATTTATAAATTTTGCATCAATGCTGGTTTTGCGATTGCCATTTGTGCTAGCATATGACATAAAATGAATTAAATGCTCGCGCCGTTAAATTTGTTCTCACTGGTAGTAAACTAGCAGCTTTTTTCGAACACTGAGATTTCGTTCAGCGAAATAAACGTCGATGATTGCACCAAATACCATTATTTTGTACTGTCGCCAGTATATAATCGCCTTTAAATTTATTAATTATAATTATACCACATATACCGTATTTCTCTGACTAAAGTACACCCTGAGCAAACTACCTTTCGACGCCTGAGTTGTATTAGTACGTCGGTATATTATATTGGATAACAATACAGTCACACATCTGGTATTACTAAGTTACTTATTAACTAGGTCAATTGAGATGGGCAAAAAAATCGATTGATTTGAGCTGAGTTTTTTCGTAGAGTTCTGCGCTGCTCCGATAGCATTATAAAGTTGGCAATAATAATTACTCATGTCTGCTAAGCCTTACTGCTGTTGGAATTGTTTTTTTAAATTAACATTAATGGTTACAGTATGGTCATAGGTTTGCTTGCTTTTATTAAAATCCATGTCGGTTACGTAATTATTACTCATTGCATTTGCAATCTAAGAAATATTGCTATGCAATTAAACTTTTCTTTATTATGACTGGGAATATCGTTCTATATGCTGGTTTTCTTATATCCGGCTGACCCGGTATAAAGAAGTCTTGCTATATCGCATAAGTTTATTTTATAACATGCTTGTTATTCTAAAGTGATGTAAGTTCACGTAATTTTCGCCAACATAAATATTAAATATTGGGTTTATACAAATTTATTGAAATTAAACGTAATTCGTAAACTTTTGTTGTCATAAATTTTCCACTACAAACTTTTTTGCGCAACTTGCTGAAAATTTGCAATTCCAAGCGTTGTTCATTGAACGTGTTTAATGTGAAAACTTTTTGTAGTGCATAATAGAAACAACAAATATACAAAGTGCTTTGACAGGATCTATTAACAATTAATATTAATAGAAAAAAAAACTTTCGTTCCTTCGCAAGAGAATTTAAGTTTGACACATTAATGTGAGGACTGAAAGATCAAGGTCGATGATTTTGATTATTAATTATCTAACGAACTTTATCATACCAATAGTTTGTCCAAGTGAATGGCTTTCAATAAAGAACGCAAAACTCCAAGTGAATGGCTTTATAATAATGGTTTATTAAAAACTTTGTTCATGTTATCAGCACTTTATACATCATTGTTTATCCAAAACCATTCATATTTATTAAGGTAAGACTTCGTTAATTGCTTTGTAGTATGTTAGATGATATAATTGAACGGGAAGAAATATTAACTACTGAATTGCCTGAAATTGTTTTAATTAATTATGTTGATATTAGAACAAAACTGCATGCCTTCCACATCTGTTTTTGTTTAATATGCAGAAAGAGCTCTTATTGTCATTACAGGCTCTGTAAAAAAACTGATCAAATATAAAACATTGCGTCAGGCTCATAAATTGACATTAAACAGGCTCCGTAAGATAAACTGTGTCGAACAACATAATGACACTTTTACTAAATAGCGAAGTTTTTCCTAACTTCGCATACACCATCATTTTTTAACGATACCGGCAATTATAGATAAATCAAATAAGGCAAGTAAATGAACTTTACCATAGCCCTCATCGTTAATAAGCGCACTATTTTACTCACGTCACTAAGTTGGGAGACTAGCAGGATTAATTTCCATTAAATATTGTGCAACCAACTCGGTACAAATCTTGGATTGTCACAATGACGATATGATGAATTTCGATCGTGACGATGGTATAATCATGTCGTCCGATAGAGGCCAATTGTTACCACGCTAAGATCGGGTCGGACCAAACTATTGTGACAATGTCAAGCGTTATAGCAATTGTAACTGGTGCTGTATGTATGGCCTCTTCTCGGACGATTGAATAGTAGGAAATGAATTGTCGCCCTCATTTACCATCAGACGGTTTTATAATCGGTTTTTATTACTTCATACTTAGAACAAAGGCATAGGAAGAGCAATTGTACGCAATCTTGCTGTCGAATATAGCAAATCGATCTATCCACAAACCACGCCAAAGCTTGTAATCTATCTTACTTCCCGAGATGTTTCTAGAGGCATGGCTACACTGGCAGAGGTTACTCGTGAACTAGAAGATAAGAAAGTGCTAGAAGCCGAAGGTGGACCAGCAGAGATTAGATTCGGTGAATTAGATATTACGGACAGTACAAGCGTGAACAACTTTAAAAAAACTGTTCAAAATGTGTGTGGTGAAGTGGATATCTTAATAAACAACGCTGCTCTTGGTGAGAATTGAATTAGCACATCGTGGGTAATAAGTGAGCGTTAGTTTCAAACAAGAACTCAAACCTACGTTTCTCTTTTCAGGGACCGAATTTCAAGGGGAACCGTTTAGTTATGAAGTTGTTGAAAAGACTCTTAAGACTAATTACTTTGGGCTAAAGAATGTAAGGACATTTGTGAGCCAACCATATTATTACTGCTAAAGACCATTTACTACACGATTCGCTTCATTTCAGATGACTGAATTGTTTTTTCCAATAATCAAAAACCCTGGCGGTAGAATAATCAATCTTTCTAGCGGGCTTGGGAGACTTGCTGCACTTCCATCAAAATCGCTGAGAAACCAGTTTTCAAGTCAGGATTTGACCCAAGAACAATTGGATAGACTTGTGAATAAGTTTCAAAATGATGTCCGCGCTGGTGTATATGCTGAAGAAGGATGGCCGACGTCAGGCATGAATAAAGCCCCGTGTATTATTGACCCACAAGTACAATTAGCGTTAAATATTAACATTTATTTAACATATTTCAAGGGACCATTGCTTACAATGTATCCAAACTTGCTGTTGTTGCATACACGAAACTACTGGCGAGACGACTGGATAAAGAGGGGATAATGATCAACACGCACGTCGTTGATCCTGGTTGGGTAAGTTGTTGATAAATGATTTTACGTCCAGACAAACGAATAGATTATTAATAAAGCCAAACAATAATCTATTCACAGGTCAGAAGTGATATGGGTAGGTACTAGTACTTATACTGCCACCGTCAAATCACATAAAACATTTTTCTTAATGTTGTATATTTACCTTTATATTCTGTTAACACAGGTGGCGAAAATGCTCCTCTTTCCGTTGGTATGCACTATTGTTAATCACTTCTTAACGACTGACGGTTAAACAACTAGTCACGAAACTAATCCAGTTTGCTTTAAAAACATTCCCATTCAGATCAAGGGGCCGAGACACCGGTTTATCTTGCTCTTACCCAAGATAAAGCCATAGAGATTAATGGGCAGTTTTGGAATAAAAAGAAGCCAATTGCGTGGTAATTGCTAACGACACGCAAAGTTATTATTTTACAGAAGACATATGCTTGACCTTAATTTGGGTAGTATAAGTTCCATAGTAAAAGTATAATAGTAATAATGAACGATAATGGTTGCAGGCAGTATTATTTGAAAATTAAAAGAACTTGCAGGATGCAATGTGTATGATTTATTATTATGATAAGATAATGGCTTCAGAATTAGTTGAATCAATCATAATAATAATTAGCCTAGTTATTAATAATTTTATAATCAAATCTAAAAAGCTTTATTATTATGTAGAGCGGATGCGCAGAAAACATTGCGTTAAAGGTTAAAGTTAAATACTTTAGTATGATCATAGTCAATACGCGTAAGAGGAATAGAATAGTAGAGTATCTAATCACGTGCTTGGAATTCATTGTTCACTGCGGATGGTTTAATATTTGTGGTGGCGCATGTAGGTCAGAAACAGTATTTAATTTTTATGTCTATCCTTAATATCCGTCCTCTTTAGAACCTTTAATATGCGAACTTGTTATTACGAACTCCTCGACGTCTCATACGACGTTTCGCCCGATGGTTTAAAAAAAGCTTACAAAAAAAAGGCTTTAGAATGGCATCCAGATAAAAATCATGGCAATATAGAAGAAGCGACAGAAAAATTTGCTTTAATACAAGAGGCATACGAAGTGCTTTCTGATCCGCATGAACGGGCATGGTATGTAATGGGAAAGAGTTTTTATATCAAATAGAATCAAAATTTTGGAGTCGAAGCGTAATGCCAGGAATTTGACGTTCCTTGACAGGTATGACGGACATAAAGAACAAATATTGCGAGGTAGGCTGGCTGAATACCAAGCTGTGGAGAGCGACATTGGAAATTGAATTATTTAAATGCTTTATAACATCTTCTGTCTTCACCAGAAAACTTTGATGCACCGTACGAGAGTTCTCCGTCCTATCAACCACGAGCTCCAGCAGTAGCAGGCACTACAGTTGATGATCTAATGAGATACTTTACTGCGTCATGCTACAATGGATTTGGGGACGATCGTAAGGTACATACGATGCTCATTCCGTCTTCGCCACAAATTTATTTAGCGGCTTACATTAATTACGAACATTTGCTGATTACACGTTTTCTAGAGCTTTTATACTGTCTATGGGACACTATTCGACCAACTCGCTGCGGAAGAACAAGCTGCGTTCGAGTATAATAGAAATACCAACAAAGCCGATTATCCCGTGTATCCATCATTTGGGGATAGCAACACACCATTTAAAGATAATTTGGGTAATGGGAGCCCAATAAAGTCATTCTATAATGCCTGGTTGAATTTCACGACCAATAAAAGCTTCATTTGGCTTGATAAGCATAGGCTGTCTGAGGT